TTTAAATGATTATATATTCCTGCATGTTTTTGTGTACATAAAAAAAAAAAAGAGGGAATAGCAGCAAATACTGTTAACTGATGGTGCGTGGAGGGGATTATAATCACTGCAATGAAACAAAATATGATTGGTTGAGTGCAAAACCAGTGTTTTTCCATATAAACTATCACTCAATTCACAATAAAGGCTTAAAAAGAAGAACTGAAGAAAACATTTAAGCTTCAAGTTGAAATATTGAAGGACTCTGGGTAACATATTGAGTGATGCAGAAAGCATGAAAAGAAGATGGAAGGAATACACAGTTATTGTACCAAAAATAAATGGTCCATGCTCAACCATTTCAAAAGGTAATATATGATCAAGAACTGATGGGACTGAAGGAAGAAGTTCAAGCTACACTGAAGGTATTGGCAAAACAAGGCTCCAGGAATTGACAGAATACAAAGTTGAAATCTTTCAACAAATTGATGCAACAATGAAGGTGCTCATTCATCTATGCCAAGAAAATTGGAAGACAACTGCTTGGCCAACTGATTGGGAAAGATTCATATTTGTGACCATTCAAAAAAAAGGTGACCCAATGGAATGTGGAAGTAGTCAAAAAAGTATTAATATCACATGCAAGTAATATTTTGCTGAAGATACTCAAAAGCATGACAATGCAATGACAGAGACCTTCCAGAAACTCAAGCTGGATTCAGAAGGAAATGTGGAACAAGGGGTTATTATTGCAGTCAGATGGAACTTAGCTGAAAGCAGAGAATACTAGAAAAATGTTTACTTGTACTTTATTGACTATGCAAAGGCTTTCAACAGTGTGGATTATGACACGCTTTGGATAACATTGCAAAGAATGGGTATACCAGAACACATTATTGTGCACATGAGGAACCTGTACATAGACCAAGAGGCAGTCATTCAAACAGAACAAGGGAATATTGAATGGCTTAAAAGCAGGAAAAGTCTGCACCAGGCTTGTATTGTATTCTTTCACCACATTTATTCAATCTGTACACGGAGCAAATATTGCAAAAAACTGAATTATATGAAGAACAATGAGGCATCAGGATTGGAGGAAGATTCATTAACAACCTGTGATATGTATATGATACAACCTTGCTTGCTGAAAGGGAAGAGTACTTAAAATACTGATGAAGATCAAAGACCACAGCCTTCAATTTGGATTGCACCTCAATGTCAAGAAAGCAAAAATTCTCACAACTGGATCAATAAATAATATCATGATACACAGAGAAAGGTTAAATTTGTCAAAGACTTCATTTTGCTTATATCCACAATCAACACTCATGGAAGCAGCAGTCAAGAAATCAAAGGAAATAATTGCACTTGGCAAATCTGCTGCACAAGACCTCATTGAAGTGCTCAAAACCAAAGATACCAGTTTGAGAACTAAGGTGTGCCTGACTCAAGCCATGGTATTTTCAATAGCCTCATATGCATGTGAAAGTTGGACAACAAATAAGGAAGACCATAGAAGAATTGATGTATTTGAGCTATCATGTTGGGCAAGAATATTGAAAGTACCATGGATTGCCAGAAGAACAAACTCATCTCTGTTTGAAGAATTATAACCAGAATGCTCCTTAGAAGCAAGGATGGATTTATTTTTTATTTATTACTTTGGATTTATTAGCAGGAGGGACCATCACACTTGGTAAAGGCCAGTTAAAAAGAGGAAGATCCCCAACAAGATGGATTGGCACAGTGGCATCAGCAATGAGTTCAAGCTTAACAATTGTGAGGACAACACAGAACTCGATAGTTTCATTCTGTCATGCATAGGGTCACTATGAGTTGTAAATCACAAAGACTATATAACTAGAAGAGCCATATTAAGTAATTAACTATATTACAAGTGAAAATGTGAACTTTGATGCCCTGAACTAAGGGAATAAATGAAGTTTGTTTTGTATCATTATTAAGTTCTGGGAAAGTTTTCTAGTAAGATGACAATCAGGAAGAGAGAAAAAATGTCTGGGATGGTGACTGAAATTCTTACTAAGAAATATGACAACTACACAATGCATATTATCAGAACTTATCAAATGTATGAATCTCCTGGTGTATTCTGTAGATTATGTTCATTCTTGCTTCTTAAACCAGTGATTTCCATTCAGTAGACTTATGTGGGAATTTTAGGAATATACATATCCAAGGTGCATTGAAGGAATTGGCAAAGAACAAGGCACAAGGAACTGAGATGGAATAAAAATTGAATCTTTCAAGAAAGTGAGGCGGCACAGGAGGCACTCACTCATTTCTGCCAAGAAATTTGGAAGACAACTATCTGGCCGACTGATTGGAAGAGA